GCCTGATCACTGAAATCTGCGAAGGCACACTAAGGCAGAGAGTTTTTTAAGGGTTAGAACTGATTACGCTGGACTCAGGTTTGTGGCTGTGAGGGAGTGAGGTAACAATGCTTTAGCTTAAAAGCAATCTAATTTTGCCTGTGTCTTTTCCCTCTTGTCTCTGAAATGAAGGTTAAATGATTTTTTACAGTACCAGTATCTTTGCACAGTATCTCACTTTGTCACGCAGTCATGTGATATTCCCACCTAGCACCTCAGCATTGTCAAAGGCTCCTGCTCATCTGTACTTCCTTCTTCATCTTCTCCCCAGTCTATTTTTTGGGCTGAGCTGCTTTTCCCCTTGTCGGAGAGGATATGCTGAGGATAGCTAAAAGAACTGCTACTGTGCAAGAGCTACAAGAGGTTCTGCATGCAAATACTGTATTTTTAATGGCCTTACTCAGAAATTACTGCTATTTTACCTCACAGACAAGAAGCACTGCAGTGTTTCCTTGCAGTCAGTTTTGGAAAATGCCTTGCACTTCTGTGGTGTAAAGGAAATTATGAGTACGGCTTTCCACCTCTGAGAAGTAAATGTTGTTTTGTTCTATTTAGCTGTCCCTGTAGGCTACACATGTACATGTGTTGCTGTCATGGTTTAAGTGCAGTCAGTAACCCAGAACTACGCAGCCGCTCACTCACTCCCCCCTCCCCTTTCCTTCCTTCACTCCCAGAGGGATGGGGAGGAGAATCGAAACTCCCATGGGTTGAGAACAGTCCAGTAACTAAGGTATAACACAAACCACTGCTGCTATCACCAATAATAATAATGAAAAGGGAAATAACAACGGAAGAGAATACAACCGCTCACCACCTGCTGACCAATGCCCAGCCTGACTCAAGCAGTGATCTAGCCCTTCCAGGTAACTGCCCCCAGTTTATATAGTGGACATGACGTGCTGTGGTATGGAATACCTCTTTGGTTAGTTTGGGTCAGGTGTCCTGTCTCCGCTTCCTCCTGGCTTCCCCTCCTCCCTGGCACAGCATGAGGCTCACAAAGTCCTTGGTCAGAGTAAACATGACTTAGCAACAACTAAGAACATTGGAGTTATCAGCGTTGTTCCCAGGCTGAAAGTCAAAAACACAGCACTGCACCAGCTACTAAGAAGGAGAAAAATAACTGCTACTGCTGAACCCAGGACAGTTGTGGAACTAATAAAAAAGCAGAAGCTGTAAGGTACTTTTTTTGTTTGATAGTCATTCTGATTCCTCTGTTCCCATACCAGCAAGAGATCTATATTCCCTTGTCTAGATCAATAAAATATGAACATATATTAATCAACCCCAACCTATAGCTTTTTAAAACAGACTAAGCTAAACTGAATTTCAGATGAAATGATTTTATACAAATCTGATGTTACTTCTGAAATTTCAAAGCTAGATCTCTTGGAAATGCAAAGATAAACTTAATTACATTACTGATGACTTTCAGATTGATTTACATCACAGTATATCACAGATGGTTTTAAATCAAATTAAAGATTTATGAAGGATGAAACTTTTAGTGACAGCAGACACAGGTAAGGCTGATGAAGTTGATGCCTTTATCTTCAATGACAAAGTCTCCGAGGCCTTTCTGCTTAGTGCAAGTGTTCAAGGAAAGGAACTATTAGGAGCAGCTGAAGATCAAGTTAGGGTATTTCTGTGCGAGACTGATGGAATCAGGTGGTGTACATTCACAGGTGCTGAGACAATTTTTCAGTGTCCTCACAAACCAGGTTAAACAGGTGGTTAAAACCTGTTGATGGCTGAAGAGGTTAAAAACCAGTGGCTAAAATAATATTTGATAATCAAGCTCAGTGTAGCGCTTAAGGTTGTACTTTACCTGGCTGCCTGTCACTAACGGACGAACAAATGTCACACACGGAGCTACCCTGAATAACTGAAGCATATTCAAAGTCCACTAAGATCACTGAGGGTGGAGCATTTCCACTATGAGGTAAGGTTAAGGGAGCTGGGCTTGTTCGGCCTGGGAGAGAGATAATTTCAGGGGGACCTAAAAGCACCCTCCAGTGCCTACAGGGAAGGTATCAAAAGGACAGATCCAGGCTCTGGGTGGTGGGAAGACTAAGGACACTAAGCATAAAATGAAACAGATGTTCAGACTGTATATAAGGATTATTTTTTTTTTGTTTTTCACCATGAAGACAGTAAAGCAGGAGGAGAGATTATCCAGAGAAGTTGTGCAGTCTGTGTCCTTGAAGGTTTTCAGTATCTTACTGAATACTGAACCATCAACAGACAACTTGCTTTGACAGCACAGCTACCCTTGCTTCGAGCATGTGGTTGGACTGGAGATCCTGAGGTTCCCTCCAACCCGAATTCTCCTATGATCACATGAAGGTCAGCTGAATGTTGCACCACAGTAAGCTATAAAGTGTACTCTGTCAACTAGCAATGCATAGATAACTGAAAGAAAAAAATAATTATTATTACAGAATTAAAGGTATAATTTAATTTCCACATTACCAACATTACCAAAACCCAGTAAATCACAGACTACCAAATGATTCCAAATTAAGTTTACAAAAATATCCTGACAAAGTTCACTTCAAAATCCCACTCACTGCTGTCATTAGTAGGCATGTAGAATTCTTTAGAAAGTAGAACAGTTAATGGAGCTGTACGAGAATAAAAATTTATTTTCCTTGTCTCACAATTTTTCTACTCTCATAAAGAGAGACACTACCATAAAATTCTTTCTAAAACAGACCAAGATGAGTAAAAAACACAGCCACCTGGAAGCTAAGAATGTGGCAGGGTTAAAAATTACAAAATCACAGACTACTATTAGGCCATTAACTAATAAGCACTGCTAATTCAACCATACAAATACATAATTCAACATATGTTTGTGTGCATATATGTATAAAAAGTCTGAACAATTTGCCTTTGCAGAGCATTTACCCAAATTCTCAAGTCCATATATTTACCAAAAAAAAAAAAAAAAAAGAAATCAGCCAGACAAAAGAAATATCCTTGTACTGTTAATTCTAAAACTAAGGGTCACCCAAGTGAAACACTTCAGGGAGTCATGACAGGTCAGACCAAGTACTTTTTTTCATGTTTCCTAGTCTTCTGGCCTATGACAGGATACACTTAGCACATGGGACTTTGAGATTGTTCTTTTGAGACACTGAATAGTCTCCACTCAGCAAAGGCCATAGGTACTTTCTCTGAATTTGACAGTCCCCTCTGGAGGCCAGATATGTAAAAGCTGGATGTAGACATACCTATTTAAAGTACTTTAAGACAGTTACAGCCCAAGCTGCAGAAAGGTTTCTTCAAACCAGGTCGCAAATCCTCACCCGTAACAGCCAAGTCCAGGGACTCAGTCATTCTATTTTATTTCAAAACTAAAGATAGTGATGTTTACTCCAGTTACATCTATCAGTCACTGAACAAAACCAGAACTCGTCTGAAGAGCATGAACTTAAATTTAGGATTTCCTACTGTTACAAACAGGTAAGATATCACACGGGCGGGATTAAGTTCTCACTAAGATACCTAAATGCATGTTTGTGTCAGTGAGCTATGTTTGAATGCTCATGCTATCATCACTGCTTGATTCAGTTGTCTAGACAGACACATTTAGTGATACTGCCACTAAAGATGCTCCAAAGCATCTACATAAAGAGAGAAAATGTGACACAAGACTTACGGAAGATCTGCAGGCCTTTGAAGTAGTAGCTGGAGACTGCTAGGGTACACTGTGTTTCATAACTTAAGACATTCCAACTACACAGAAGCATCTAAATGCACATATTGTGCATCTTTATCTTGAGGTGAGTTTCATCTTGGTGAAAAATCTCTCTAAGAAACATAAGACAGCAATCTGTCTAATTACTATTCTGGCTGCAAAGGTTATTGCTCCCGCAAAAGCTGAGGTATGCTCATTAATCTGGTTCAACCGCACTATTTAGTTTTGCACTGAAACAGGTAAGGAGAGCCCAGGTGACCAGTTAACAGCACTTTTACAGAGAGTCTAATGTGTGCCTAAATTGCTCCAATGCCATTACGAGGGAAATTTTCACTGTGTCCCAATACTGTCAAAGCTGCGTAACAAACTGTCTCAAATCCCTGTCAGAGTGAAAGTGCCATGTAGTTATTCCATCTCTGGACACAAACCCCCCTCTCTCTGTATGTTGTGAAAAAGATTTTGAAAAACATATCTCATCAGCTGTTACTTCAAGATTTATCAAGGATGTGTGTATTTCCCAAAATATCCATTGTTCTTTTAGCAGCATAGAGACCTCACTGGTGAGAAAATGCTACAACCTATAAAGAAGAAAATGTGTCCCTTTGTGCCTGAGTTGCTTTACTAATAACCAAAATATTTATTGCCAACAGATGAGCAAATATGCAGTGGTGTGCAATCTAGTGCTGAAACTGTTCTTTAGAACAGGAATATTGAAACAATACATGTTTCGCTATTACATAGATTCCAGTATCCTCCTGTGTTTTGTGTCTTTACAAAACACTTGAATGAAGCTTTTTTAAAAAATTAAAATGAAAATGATTTTATCAATTAGATACCAGTTCCTTTTGTTTATTCCCTTCCTTGCTCTTTTTGGAATCATGCTTTCAGCGCTGTGGAGGGAGGTGGAAGAACTGATCCTCTACCTTAATGAAACAAACAAAGAAGTAAAGCAGTAACAAAAAGGGCACAGTAGTTCCTGAATGACTACCAAATTTACATACTTATTTATTTTCTTTAATTTGGCTTAACTTATCCAATTTTCTAATGTGACTATTCAGGAACACTTGTTTTGCAAATCAAACATTCCTGCTGAAAGAAAGTTTGCTAAAAGAAAGCATTAAACAAATGTTACATTAATATACCAAATACATTAATATACCAAACACAAAGCCTAAGAAACAGAACAGTGGCCTGTGTCTAAACAAGTGTAAGAATCACTCTTTAGGGAGCCAATACAAGATCAAAGTAAGTATTTTTTAAAAATATTAATATATTTTACATACATAGAAAACAAGGGTTTATTATCTGAAATAAATGCATTCAAATTAACAAGATTAATTATTTACAATATTTTTAAAAGCCACGTTTCAGAGACTTTTGCTGACACAAAAACTGAGCTGATGAAACAAATGCAAGGGAAAGGACAAGATCTAATACTAAAAAGGTTTTCTCTTTACAGTGAATATGCACTACTAACAGACATAGAGCTAAAATTTTGTTTAACTATTAGACAAAAAATGCTGTTCATCATGAACAGTTACCCTCTAAATTTATCACAGATGCTGGATCAGTTAAGGTATTGTTGAACTCGGATTTTAAAGGCCTTCATGTTTAAGATGATTTTGTTTAAATATGTCACAGTTATTATGAGGAATATAATTTTATTACACAGAAATAAAAATATAAAAATCAGATGATACATGAATATACAAAGGGGATTTTGTCAATATTCATTAATTTTGAACAGAAAAGTTCAAAGTAATCATTAAAAGAGTTAAATTCATTCAGATTAGATCTTTGAAATCATTAATCAACTCTGAGTGAATTAGGCCTATGCTGCCTATGTTTGTGCATACACAGGTAAAGCCAAACAGTACACAATCAATGTAAGAAAGCTGCAAAACTGAGCACCAGATTTTATTTTGCTCAGGCAAGGACTCTTTCGATTAAATTAGAAACTAAGTCTGCCCTGTAAGAATTTTTGGTGATAAGTTACCAAGTTTAAAAATAAACATTTTTATTTCTGCCAACCAACTATTGTCTCTAAAGCACAGAGAAGCTATACAACTCTTAAAAGACAGGCATTATTTTCCTAACTTTGAAGCTCTATACACCCTTTAAGTCTTAACTTTAAAATTCATAGTGCTTATTTTAAACATCACTTGAAACAACTTCCTTTGTTGCCATCTTTACTTTGTATGCAAACAGCAACATATTGTTTTCCAATATGAGAAACTATTTATTCGAAGCAGCATCTGGATTATTACATTTTTTCTGTATTTAAAATTGGAAATAAATTGCATTATCTCTGAAACTGCTGAATAGCACAGCAGTTTAAAGTAAATGTTTTCCAATAATGACAATTTTCCTGTCTGGCTCAAAAATTTCCAATGCAATCCTGTAACAAATGCACTGTTAGAAAGTAGGCTGCTTGTTTTAATCAATTTGAATTTGAGCAGAGTTCAAAAGAACATTCACTCTCCATAAAAACAAAGAAAACAAAGGGAATTCATCTGAGAGACAAAGAATAATTTGATCAAGGTTCTCCAGAAATTTGATTTTTTCTTCTCCATCATAGTCTGTGCTTGAAACATTACTTTCTTCTGTCTCATTTTGAAGAAGCTGTTCCAGAATCATGCACAAAGGAAAAATATTCTCATACTGGGTAATATCATACATGGTCTGGATCTGGGAATAAAGAAAAATCAATAATAAGCACAGCGTGAAAACATTTCTGCAGCCCAGTATTCAGATGGAAGTTTAAGAAATAATGGTAAAATGTGTGGTATATAATCAGAACAGCTATATGCTTAGCATAATTACTTCTAAGATGTTTTTTCCTTTTTGTGATAAGAGCCAAACAATTATCTCTCCATCATATTACAAAATGAAAAGTCAACATAATCTCCTGTTCATGTCTCCTGCTCATGAGTCACAGAGGGTTTTCTCTGCCTAATTATCCAGAGGTTGTGACATACAGTAATGACCTACACCACCACCAAACACTTTGGTTTAGGCATATAATTATAATTGGTGGATTTTAGTGTTCTGAGTAAAAAGTATTTTTCTTTTTACTTTCAAATTCAAGTGACACCTCTAGAAAGGAAATAAAAAGTCCAAACTTTCACTCTCCACAGAAAATACACAAGCAAGTACTACATATCTGGGACAAAGAGTCATTTTGTCAAATAAGCTCACTGATCAAACCATAAAGTCATTAAAAGTCTTTATTTAATATAAATTTATCTGTCCTGTATTTGGAACTGCAGTTTCAAACTGAAGCTTTCAGAATATCTGCTGTAGATATAAAATTAAAGCGTGGGGAGATGTCTGGAATGAAACTCCGTGTCCTCCTTAACAGCAAATCAACCAGTAATATGAGATGACCTTGTTCTGAAAAGGCTGAAGTTACAGTAGACAGATTATCAGAACTGAAAGGTAAAATCTTAGCTGCTAGAAAATTAATTATATTTTAAAAAATGGACAAACAACTGTTTAGGCCTCTGGTACAAAGGCAGGTGGTTCTAGGCTTCAACATGGGTCTATGACTTAGTATCCATTTTATCAACCTAAACTGCATCCTGCTAGACTTTCCAAAGTATGAAATTTGTTATATAATAGTTGTTTTCACAAATAAGTCATTTTTTATTCCAGTGCAGAATCTAACAAAAAGAAGGAACTCAACGCTCCTCAGGTAAAGCTGCTACTATCTTCCTCTGCAGTAGATAGTGGCTCAGGGATTACTTACTTTGTCTTTCTGAGGAGGTCTTAAACACAAAATCTGTGTTGAAGCTTCCGAAGGAAATGTCTTTCAGGTAAACTCTCTCCTCAGGGACACCACTAGGACACAACAGCAAACCTACTGCAAAGCCTCTAAGTAGCAAAGTAATTCTGCTCAGTTTTCAAGACATCTTGAAAATCAGCTTAATCACTGAAAAATATTATCCCTAGCCTTGCATGCTCCAGTTCTCTCTTTCTAGAAGCTGGTAAGAATTTGGAGTTCAAAAGCTGCTGTCAAGAACTTGATATTGACACTCGTATCACAACAAACAGCAACAAATATAAAAGGAAAAACATTTTAAGTATTTTCATACTTTTGAAGTTCAATTAAATCAAATTGTGTAATTAGGGAAAACCTTCTTCTAAAGCAGAGGTAATAAGAGAGTCTGTTTCTCCAAACACCAAGCATCTGACTCTAGAAATCTATGTCTATACACTGACTATTTTGACCGTTAACTAATACTAGTGAAATAAATGTATTTATTTGGCTTATTAGACTAAATTACAGCTTTCTAAGTCAAAAAAATAACTGGTATTAGCAATTTCCTGAATTTCCAGGGAATAGATGTTTCTCAAGGCCTACAAAGGCTGCTCTTGAGACTTTCAGTGTAAGAATCATCTGACCAAACACAGGCATCAACAGGCTGAGACAGTTCCTGATTCAGTCAACACAGGTAAGCAGAGAGTGGGATTCAGTTGCTTGAATGCCAGTATCTATTGCCATTTTGGATGTCCAACGGTATCCAAGGCATGTGCACAAGCAGAGCTTTACATCAGAGTCAGCAGCTCTAAGCTAGGAGTACCAGTTAGAAATCTGAGTTTTGGCAACCAAGTAGTTCTCAGGGACTTTCAGGATATAAATCATCCCCTTCTAAACTAGATCCTCTGATGCACCATGTCCTGAAACTCTTTACAGTGATAAAATATGATTGTGCCCAGAAAAATTACTATTTAGAACCTTAAAATTGCAGTTCTATCCTTCTAGTTCCTGTAATTTGGATATTAGAAGTACACTACAAGCAAAATCCTTTGATTCTAAAGTGTTCGCCTTGTAAACTCACTTAGATCTTCCTTTCACATGAGGAATCAATAGAAAGTATTTTAGAAAGGCAAATTATGTCACTTCACTTATCCCCATAACCTCAGGCTCTTCCAAGCAGTTAAGCAATTGTGTTTTACTTTCAGTGGGTCTTAAAAACTGCAACTAATTGTAACTTCATAAACTATCTAATTGATTGTGGATAATAGAAACCACAAGCTAACTAATTATCTTTCCTCTGCAAATACTACTGCACTAAAGGAAAATTATTTTAGTCACACAGAACTGACTTTGCAGAGATAGGGTAAGAAAGGAGGAAGTATTTTCTGAGGTAATTGCTTTTCAGGGGACAAATGCACTTTGAAACACTGTTTTATAAAACCAGGAAAAAAAAACCAAACCAACAATCTAGAACATTCTCTGGCTCAAGGCTTATTAACCTTAGCAACTCATTTAATATAATCTGAACAAAACATGTCTTCATCTCTTCTTTAGATGTTTTTTGTAGTACTAACTGACCCAATTATTACCAAAGCAAATTTATGCCACACAATTTGTAGAGGCAATACCTTTATTGTGACCTAATGGGGCAATCAGGTAACAGTCCTATTAATCTCATCAATGTGTGTAAGTGGGTAGTGACATATGTACATGTACATATGCACACAGCTAGTCCATCCAGAAAATTCAGAAGGTATATCCGCAAAGCAAACCTCATATATAGACGACGATTCCAAAACACCTAGCACCAACATTAAAGAACTTTATATTTAACCCCATTTTTCAGAAAGAATTTTAATTTAATCAGTATTTTTACTGATCAGATGGGTATGCAATATGGATTTTGGACATTTTTATTTTTTTTTGAGATCAGTCCTTGCCAAATTTTCCTAAGTATTTGGAAATGTGGTTTTTAGCAGTAAGATGCATTTTGCACACACCTCAGTTTTTAATTTTTCTGAAATTGTACTCAATCCAAACAAACTTTAAAGTTACATAATTTAAAAAAAAAAAAAAGGAATGATTACATAAGATTAAGCTTTACATAAGATGGAAACAATGGGTGCAAGGACCTCCTGGCTGGATTTGATGATCTGCCATTCAGAATCCATATATTTATATCACCAAGTTCAGAATGTAGAAGCATCAAAGCTTTCGGCTGAAATTCATTCTCCAAGCTTCTCCTGCATTACAGAGTGACCACCTGGAATAGCACACCTACTTACTACATAATTTGAAAGCAGGGAAGAAGTTCTCTAACCTGTCTTCTTTACAATGGCATCATAAAACCATGTACTAATATGTTAAAGGAAACTGCTCAAAATGTAGGAAGCATTGACAGTCATAATGCTAAAACGCCATCTGTGTTCTAAGCCCCTGAGCCTTTATTATACTTTCTCTTTGCAAAGCAACAGATCAGATGGTCCTGGATTAAATTCCAAGCTACTGCTGTGTTACTGGACTGATTTATTTATATAGAATATATTAGCAAAATTTTGGACAAAAACTAGGTATTTGAAGGCACATAATAAATTGAAATAACCTTCACAGAATGGCTGATGTAATTTCTGAAGGTTATTCAATCAGATTCAGAAAAAATCCCAAGTGATATTCTAAGCTCAAAACCAGCACTTAGAATATTTTTGTTTTTTTTGGCTTAGTGGCTCATGCACATTTATATAATTTATTCAAGTGCCCTCAATAACAGCAATATAAAAAAAAGAACAGGAGAATAAATATTAGCTTGGAAGAAATTCTGTACAAGTCTTAAGCCATTTACCAGCCATGACTCATTTCTAGTGATGAAGTCTGTTAGGGCTCGAATTTTCACATGCAGAAGACTGATGCTGCCTTCTGAGTATAGGCAAATAAGTTTTACTCCTTTTACATCTCAAAGGACCTACAGAACGAAGACAATACTTTACCAGTGCAAACAAAGATGATATGAAAAGAAGGAGAGTATGTTCACAGCAGCTAGTATTTGCTTCCATGCCACTATATAGGCTATGGACAAATCTTCAGCAACACCTGCATACTTTCTGGAATAAGCCAAAACCAGCTCTAGCTCAGGAAAACTTCTTTTTGGTTTAGAATGCAATGTTGAAATGCTGATTTTTTTTTACAAAATTAAAACCATTAAAATTCATTGAGAAGCATCATTATGTCCGATTAAGGACAAAACCCTTTCCTCTTTCTCTATCCCTGTAATTTATTAATATCTGTTTAGGCTTTTTTTAGTCCCATGAAGATAGTAAGTTTAAACATATATTGCAAAAAATAATTATACACAATATAATGCTATATAAAATACTGGCATACTAATACAAATTTTAATTCAACTGGAAAGATAAGTGTTTATACAGCTCTGCTGTTTAGAAAGGGATAAAATTGACACTTCTTGAAGATGGTTATTTTAGCAGAGAAATGTTCTGCCCAAATCTCTCCCTCCTATTCTAACACCTTTGTTTCTTAAAAATTTTTTCTTGCAACTTTTGTCACTTCCATTTCTTGGCAAACTTTTCCTATTCATCAGAGAAGTAACTTTTTGCTAGCAAGGTGTCTTTTCTATGTCCCATGAAATTCTATTTCAACCTTCACTGAAATACCAAGTGTTAACAATTGGTATTTCTATTCTTTTACATGCATATTTTTCACAGAAGCATAAAGGGTAGACTGAAATAAACAACAGGAACTGCTAAAGCCTAGTTAATATTTCCTCTCAACGGAAGAAGAGGCAGTAGGAACTGCAGTAGCACCAGCTGCTGTGATCACTTAGTTAAGGATGGAGGATAGAACAGAACCAAATCTGCCATTCAGCTATTTTCAGCAAAAATACCCCTCAGCCCGTCCCCTCCTTAGGGAAAAATTA